ATCCACATGTATAACTTCATGTGCAGCTGCTCCACAGTGCCATTTCCAAAAGCTATCAAACATTTTCTCCCACTGTCAATCTCCCTCTATCTTTCAATGAATCTTTCCAGTTGTCACAACACCTTAACCAATATCTGAAAACACATTGTTATAAATAAACATATCTCAATAACAAACAATAATTATTTGTATTCACTAGCGTTTACAAAAATATGTTAAAAATATGCAGTATTTGTTATTTTCTTGTGATGTGTATTGACAACTGTGAACTTTGAATACTAATTATAAGAAATTATCAAAATGAAGAGAAATCTAACATTCAAACATGTTTTTGCTAACATATCATATAACATTACATTAAAAAAAAAGTTTAACATAGGTGTAAAAAAAAACAACCTTTGTAGTCCAATATAAACAACAACAACAAAAACTAGTAACATTTATCCATGTCTGCGCTGATACAGAAAGTTTTTGAAATGTGAGAAGAATTGAAATTCTTATACGAGAGAATTTAAAAATGAAACTTCAGATGAATTCTGAAAGTTTAAAATGTGAACCTACAAAAAAATTTATTCTGCAATTCAAACAGCCAGAGTAAATAACATTTGCCAAGAAAGTCAGCTATCCTGTAAACACACACAACACATTTACGTCACTCAGATGGATGATGACGAAGAAGAAGTCTGAATAGAAACAAAATGAAAATAAACAGAAAATAGCTGATGAAAGAAAACAAATATTCTGACAACTGCTGGCATCAACAGCGATAAGACAAAGAAGATGGTAATGTAGTGGTCACACCATGAGAAGAAGCAAGCAGAGGATCACCAAACAGGCACTGAAATAGGAAACAACTGAGGACAGGAGGACATCCCAGAGAAACAAATGCAAGGATTCTCGTCTACGATACTGAAAGGACAGCACGGGAAAGAATGGGATGGAGGAACAGACTACAAGCGTAAAATGGCACAACAAGATGATGATGATGGTATGTGAAGGACAGTGTACACTGATCATATGATGAGAAGAAAGGAATTGAAATATATCATGATGACAGGACACATCAGTGGCAACAAATGCACAGTCACTCTGAGAGAAATGATATTAAACATTCTTCTTCTTTGCTCACCCTTAAAAGTGCAGTTGGCATGCTGTATTGTGGTTTACAGCTAGGTTGCGATATATGTGCCTTTTGGCCCAATACATCTTTAGCAAAACCCTAATAAGTCACCTTTTATGATATGCTAATTAGGAGGCAGTGGGTGGTTTAGTCCCACATGATGAGAACATCCTGGATAGATAAACTAGTAATGAAGATGTCTATGAGGCAGACACCGACCTCTACGAAGGTGAAAACAGGACACTGAAGAGGCATTGGCTCTGAAAGCAAAGTGGTCTGGTTTACTGACTACTGATTTAAGAATCGACATGATAGCACACCGGGCATACTCATAGATGCTCCATCTCCGGCAGAAAATGACGTAAGGTGTTGATACTAACTGTTCCCGTAGAACACTGATTATACACACCACGATCTCTTCCTCTCATCCGTTCCTCCTTGCCAGATACACACTTAATTCCTCGTTCACACATTCTTGCCCATGTTATTTCATCTAATCCTGTGTCTTCTGCGAAAAGGGTTCATATATGGTCTTTAGAATATCTCCCTTGTCCGGTACGAGGGCCGGCTCTGGCTAAGTCGATGCCAACACTTTGTAAAGTGTGCCAGGGTCGATCCCAGCTGTGGGCCATTCGCCTTGCGATGGTTTCGACAGTGGTATCAGGGGGCCGCCCGCCCAGAAAGCAACAGCAAACTACTGGACGTAAATTTGCCCAGAGAAACCACACAACAGCCAGAGGCTGCTGAGGGTTGGTTCTGCAACGTCCTGTAAAGGATACACAACTAACCTAACCAGTACGAGAGCTGGAGAAGTGGCTAGAGAAAGAGAGATTGCTTGATTCACAATAATTCAATGGAAGATGCAAAATGGATTTAATCTGTAAATGAACTTAAGATTGTCACTAAAGAGCTATTTGTGATAAAATTAACTTTCCTACAATATAAATAGAGAAGGTGAAATAAAATTATGAATAATGATAAATGCAAACCCTGAAATCAGTGTTTTTTATATTTATATTCAGAATATAAATGTCTTTGTTGACTGATGTTTGTTTATGATTTACCAGGCAAATAAATAATAATATCATCTCTGCAGTCGGAACTCCGAACCAAAAAAAAAAAAAAAAAATTACCAAGTGGTAAATACAGACAGTAAAGACAAACAGTCTGAATTGTAGACAAAAGGCAGACAGACTGAACTGTAGACAAGAGACAGACACATGTTCAGAAAACGTTTGCTTATTCTGTTGTCATGAAAAAAATAAAACAAGATAAACTGAAAAGAATTTCATATACAGTGGTACATCGGTATACATGCTTAATCCCTTCCAGATACTTATACCAAACAGAACACATACAAAAAACATTTCCTTATAAGAAATGAAGGAAGAATTAATACACTGTCACCCAAGAAAAAAAATCCTATTGTTATTGGCATAATATACGTTGATGGGATTGTCTGAAATAATTTACTAATACTCAAATACATAAATATAAAATCGATTAGCTGAAATAAAGGAAATTTAACCTCACTTGAGCTCGCTGAGAAGAGCCAAGCACTTATTAGGATAGTCACATGCAGACAAAATTTAGGATTGGCGAATCAGCCATGTGCACATGTGGACTGGCACCTGAGACAATAGATCACATCCTCCAAGACTGTCCCAAATTCAGCACTTCCAGGCAAAACTACTGGCCAAGAGAGATATTAGTTGAAGCCAAACTTTACGGGCCACTGAGTGAATTACAAAAGACAGTGAAGTTCATATTAGAGACAGCATTGCAGATACAGATAATTGATTTTAAGCGAACAAAAGAAGAAGTAGAAGACTTGGATAGTGTTCTGAAGGGAAGAGAAAGAAGAGACGTTATTGTCTGCAAGGAGAGTCTCTTTCCAATAAAACTTCAGCAATCTGATTTTTTTTATAATGTTTTTTTTTTTTTGCAATTCGCTTTTTTCTTGTCTCTTTTCTCTATCGTGACCTGGTTGAGGCTAAACAGGTTCGACTTTTACTAAAAATCTGTCCAAATATGTCTAGCACATGAGTCGTATTCGAATCAAAGGTCCTAAACCAAGCAACATTTGTCACGTCCAAACAGGACACAACACCAAGTTGAACTTATTAGAAAGCGGACGTATACTGAGGTACCACTGCACTTACATAATTGAACACATAAACAGCTTTAATAATAAAAATTCAGAAACAATAATCATGAGCAAATGAGCTGTTTTCATCCCATTAGTGTTGGATACATGGTGCTAACCCCATTATTTTACACCACTCGGCACTTGAGAAGTGGGCGCAGTCAATATCCTGCAGGCCATCTTCACTTTCCAGGACATTTCCTGGTACCTATTTTGAGCTGTGTAAACATGCCAGCGGATGACAGTGGAGAGAAATCTGGCTCATAACGAACCATCACCGGGAATCATTTCTAGTCTATTAAACACATAAAATGTCTTTTTTACGGGGCAGCTTTAAATGAAATCCTTGAAAATGTGATTGAAATTACAATAACCATGTCATTGTCTTGTCACCTGACAATAGTGCTGTTATCTTCTTATAGGTTCCAGGCCTCACTGTGGGGGAGGACAAGAACAGGCTCACTGCCTAGCCAACAAGCATGCCGTGAGAGTCAACAAATTGGGGGCTTTCTTCAAAGTCAAAGTGCATCTGCCTGAGAGGCAAGGAACAAATAGCCTGCACACAAAAAAGTCAGATCTGTAAAATGGGTGTGCATGCAACACTAAGGTTCTAGAACAAGACTAAAGTTCAGTACTGGATGAACAATCAGAACTTCCTGCTGGAGTTTACAGCTGGTAAATGTGAAGGAAAAAAAATACTATTGTGAAGGATCTCATGAATGTATTAAGCCTGTGACATCATGGTGCAAGCCAATAGGGTGATATCATAATGCCACTTTAAAGATGGCTGCCCCACTTTTGTCATGCACCAAAGAGGAGCAGCATTTTGTAATGCTATTTTTCTTCACTGATTGCTGACCTCTAAGCCACTAAAAATAATGCCTGACATTTTATGTACACTGACATGCACACAAACAAACACAGCACAATGAAAAACTGGTTGAAGAGATGGGCATAGGAAACAAATGGAAATATTACTTTTTATTTAAATGCTCTAAAACAAACAAAAAAAGAACAGCCAGATAAACGTTTCAGACTGTTCAGTGTGGGTTCCGGAGCCCCATTTTTTTGCGGGGGGAAAATAGACCCATTGCCCCGTAGCAAGCATATTGTAAAGGACAACTAATTAGGGACTTGCTGAAACTGGATGTGTTGGGCCAAAACAACCAGAACTTTCCATCAATGAGATCACAGCTGATGTAAGAAGAAGAAAGATATAGCTTCAACATCCACACCCCCCCCCCCCCCCCCCCCCCCCCAACTCTGAAACAACCACTATGATGATTAAAAAAGTTAAAATTCAAAACGTCCCCTCGTGGGCCCGGGGCAGATGAAGCAGAAGCTTTACAAACCACATCCTTCTATCGACACAGGTACCAGGTACATCTCACCCTACTTAAGGACACCATATTCCACTCCCTCCCCCCCCCCACTCCTAAACTAGTTTTACAGAATTACAGCAGCCGTCGATCAAGAAACCAAACAATGATTATAATCAAGTCAAATTAAACGAAACACACACAAGTTTACCCATTACAATCAAGAATTCCTAGCTTGTGAAGAAATTAAATCACCCTAGCAAAAGTATTTTTCTCTTTGTAAATAATTAGACAATGTCATAAAAACATGACAACAATACTGCTATGGTCCTTGTAGCTGATACAGCACAACTGTCATGGCGACACTTTGCAGAAGACAACGACAAATTTATGTACAATAAACTAAAAGCCAATATCAGCTCCAGGGCCATGATACCAAGTCTCCTATAGAAAGAAGCGACTCCTGTAGGTTAGGGAAGTTGCGATAGGCAAACCATGAAACTAGAACTGTCAGCACCGATACCACTAGTCGTGACCTGAAAGACAAAATATGGTAAAGTTTCACATAATGATGGAGTACTGATGTACAGTAAGTAAACTAACAGAGCATTTTCCACACCTTTAGTTGTACTGGGCATATAGGGCTTGGTGTACATTTTGTAGACCAATCAGCAATGGTGGGTGGTCTGATCATTATACCGCCAGCTGTCTTTACTTTTCAGGTCTTTACCTAGTACCCATTTAAGGCTGGGTCAACCTCAAAGCAAATTTCATTTAACACACACACACCGTGTCATTCCAACATTAAGCTACCAGTGCCAAACATGGACACTATCTAAAGCCCATTACCGCAAAATCACCACCTGCGAGATGAGGTGCCTGAGAAAAGCAGCCAACCTAACCATCCGAGATCGAGTGAATAATGAAACTATCAGGCAAACTGTGGGAACCAAACCTTGTACTAGATTCATCGAGAAACAGCAGATCAAGTGGTTTGGCCAGCTCGTTAGAATGCAGCAAGATCAAATACCATCACAAGCACTACATCTCAGAAGATCAGCTACAAGAGCAAGAGGACGGCCGCGGAAAACATGGATCGACAACATTAAAGACACTCTACGCCTTCACCGCATGACTATAGCCAGTGGCAGTCAACGTGCACTGGATCACAAATTATTCCTCCCCACGGCGCTTAACGGCAGAAGTGGTTTATGATGATGATGATGATGATCACACACACACAAAAGCCAGCTACATTTGGATTCCTTCTTCTTTGCGATCACCATGCGTATACTCCCGTGCACTCCAACTTCAAAGGACCCACCCTCAACTATTACGACATGCTCATCTGGAACGCTGTGGGTCTATTTTTGTTTTCCCGAAAATTTGCCCCCCCCCCCCCCCCCCCCATACAGGGAAAATAATAATACAGACATACAAAAAATTACTTCCGCAGAATCACTAAATAGAGATATTTAGCTAGGGAACACCATATCTTCTTCTGCATAGGCACTCAACCAACTCACGCCAAGTCGTTCTATCCTTCACCATTGCATGGAGCTCTCCCCATCTTTCTAACTTCATTCTCCAGCTCTCTTCTCCATGTGTTTTTGGACTTCCTTTATTCCTATGCCCCTGTGGGTTCCAATGCAAAGACATTCTGTTTATGCTGTTCTCCTGTTTTCTCAGTGTGTGTCCAATCCAGCGGCAGCATCTTTTCCTCACTTCTTGTTCCACTGGAGCCTGTTTAGTTCTCTCCAAAAGGTCTACATTAGTTATTCATTTAATTCCCTCTATTCTGCGCAGGCACCAGTTAATGAATGTCTGTAATTTATTAGTACTTGCCTTAGTTGTTCTCCATGTTTCCGCCCCATACAAAAGTACTGATTTGACAGTAGAATTAAAAAATTTTAGTTTAGTATTTCATAATCATATAAATTCACAATAAATTACTTACGTAGAATTTACAAAAGGAGACAAGAATCTAGCCCCAGTGCTGACAAACACAAGGACGACGGCAAGGAGTGCTAGCACCACATTAATCAGTTTAGAGATGATTGTGCGGAAAGTGGCGTTCTCTACCATCTCCATGGACAGGATCTGTTGCTGCTGCTGTTGCTGTTCTACTCTAGAGATCTGAAATGAAGAACAGTTGTCAATCAACCTAGACGCACAATGAACATAAGATGCACCCATCTAGAACCTGAGTGTTGCATGCACATCTGTTTTACATCACTTTTTACTACTCTTGGGCCTCTGATGCTAAACCTTCTAGGACCAAAAAAGTTAACTGGCATTAGCTAAAAAGATTGCTAAATTTCCTATAGTATAAAAAAGTTTTAGTTCAGCTTGGTTTCAACAACGGATCAACATCATGTAAAAGGGTAGTAACCGATAAGTGCTCTATTCTGCTTCCAACTCAAGCCCGAGTCCAAAGAATCTCAGTGCAGTAAACGAACTCTGTAGCACCGGCAAGGATCCTGAAATACTTTTGGGTAGACTTTTAACTCCAAATTTTGCACGGACAGGCTACACACAGGTGTCCGATCTTACTACCCGGAGAGCAGGGGAAATTACTAGAAATCCATGTGAAAAAATCCCAGCCTTCATTGGGGCCTGAACCCTGGACTTCCTGCTGGTGAACATAAAGAATGAGAAGTATGAATGTCTAACATTTACATCCACAGCAGCAACTTCCTTCTTCTTCGTGCTCACCGGCTGTAAACTCCGGCAGAACGTTCTGGTTGTATCTCCACCTCTGGATTTTAGTCTTGTTTCAGAAACTTAGTGCAATGTGCACATCTGTTTTACAGATCTGACTCATTTGTATGCAGACCCTTGGTTCCTGGCCTCCCAGGCAGATGCACTACAACTTCAAAGTATGTCCCCAATTACTCAATTATCATAACATGCGGTGGTCTTTTCTAAGTTTCCCCACAATGGAAAGCCCCGGAACGCACAGGGGGACAGTGTCAGCTTTATGACAACCATTTATAAACACCAAATCATAAAACTTATACTCACTCTAGCTGAAACACTGTCCATCAGATCGCTCAGGTCGGTTGTCCTTTCATCCAGCCTGTAATCAATCTTCTCCTCCATGGAGGTGAGGTCCTGCTTCAGGTTCTGCATCTCGTGCTGGTGTAGCTCAGTGAGGTCATTCAACTGCTCCTCTAGATGTTCTGCTCGGTACTTCTCATCCTCCAGCTGTGAGCGTAACACTGACACCTCAAGCTGGATTTGCGACTGCAGGAAAAGAAAAAAATATAATTATGTTAAAGAAATGTTTCCCTGACGTGAATTCAGACAAAGAAGACCCAAACATTAGATTGCACAGGTTATTTTGCTGTGTCTCATCATTTTAACCAACAGTTATTGTAATAGACTGGGAACCGCCATGATGTAGCCTGCGGATCCGAAGGTCATGGGTTCAAGTCCTGATGGAGCCTGACTTTTTTTTTTTTTCAAAAATGATTTTTGGCTCCCAGGACTATCCAACCTTAAAAGAATACCAGGTAAAGTCCTGGGAAGCAAAGGTGGCCACGGTGTTATGTTGACCACATCATCCACCGAGTGCTGACTGGTCAATAAAATAAATGGTCTAGCCCTATATGCCTGAAGGCCTGTAAAAGGGCACTTTACTTACCGTAGTATGCACCCTTTAAGATACAGCAAAATATGCCAAGCAATAAATTGTGCATTCTATTATTTGTGTATTCTATTATTTGTGTTTTCTTTGTTCAAATAATTAAGTTTGTTGACAGAACATCCCCACTGTCAATCCAAAGATTCCATCCATTAGTGCTTGGGTGTCCTTTTCAGTGTCCTTTACCATTGAGTGACTGATGTAACACAGACATTTAGCTGGGCTTGTATCCACAGAAATAACATACATTTGCCCCTACATTTATTACGATTACTATGGTTTACTGTGGATAGAAATGTAGGTGTAATGTGAGCACATGCCAGTGCTTGTATTTATTACATAGCTGCCGATGTTTACTCTTGCCTGTTAACAGACGTACAAATGAAATTACGTATGAAAGGACGAAGATTAGAAGGGCAGAAAGTTAAATGCCTACATGCCCAATTCTGGGAGTGTTTCTGTTAATGGTATCCCACTCTATAAGTTGTACACCTATCTGGGTAATGTAGATAAAGACGGGGGAACTGACAGAGATATTAACAAAAGACAAGAGAAGAGAAGCTTTCATAGCAACAGGAAATTTGTGGAGGTCAAAATAAAATAAAACCAATACTAAACTTACAATTTTTAATTCTAATGTCAAATCAGTACTGCTATATGGAGCAGAAACATGGAGAACAACTAATGCAATTACTTAAAAAAAAAACTACAAACCTTCATTAACTGGTGCCTGCACATAACATAGGGAATTTAATGGTATATAGAATCACCAATATAGTTTTGGGAGAGAACCAAACAAGTTCCAGCGGACCAAGAGGTGAAGAAAAGATGTAGGTGTTGAACCATGTAACTGGAATGTCTTTGCACTGGAACCCACAGGGGCGTAGAAATAAAGGAAGATAAAAAAAAATACACGGAGAACGGAGCTAGAGAGTGAAGTTAAAAAGATGGGCAGGACATGGGGACAGCGGCATGCAATAGCGAAGGAATAATAGAACGACTTGGCATGAGCTGGGTAGGGCCTAAGCCCCGTGGGGGATAGAAATCAGAAGAAGAAAAAGGTAAGGAGTGAACACACAAGATTTTGATAAAGTAAACAACAAAGATAACACCACCTTGTGTTCTTCAAACTCCTCCACCAGCTTGATTAAAATATCATGGACTTTCTGGGATGAGTTTTTGACTTCACCCAGCTCATTAGTGATTGGTATAAGTAGGGCAGGGCCCAAGGTCATCATCTGTGTCATGTCTGCTTGGGAAAACTGGTGAGGGGAGTAGTGGGTAGTTCTGGGACCTGAGCCGGATGTAACACTTGATGCTTCGTCATCACTAAAATTAAGAAACAATGGGAAAATTATGATACAAGATAAATTTTATGAGAAAAAAAAAATGAAACTGGATAAATTATATAAGGAAATAATGAGACTGGTTAGATTATATGATAACATAATGAGACTGGATAGATTATATGAGAACATAATGAGACTGGATTAAAAAATTTTTTCATCTGAGTTCATCCGGATAAAGATCTGACATCACAGCATTCAAGACAAACCCAATCTCTGTGTGGGTTCCGGGGCCCTATTATAGGGAAAACAAGAATAGACCCACTGCCTACCCAAAAGCATGTTGTAAAAGTCGACTAATTGGGAGCTTCCTTTAAAGTCGGAGTGCATCTGCCTGAGAGGCAAGGAACCCGCAGTCTGCATACAAATTAGTCACATCTGTAAAACTGATGCACACGCAACACTCAGGTTCTGGAACAGGACTGCAGTCCAAAAGTGAATGAACAACCAGAACTTTCCGCCAGAGTTTACAGCTGGTGAACATGAAGAAGAAAAAGAAAAGGACAAGCCCATATCAGCTCTGTTTCCCTCTTCAACAACCAGTGAGGAGTCTCCACATGGATGGTTCTTAGATGGTGTCATCTGACTTGCTACTTGTCCTGTATTCCTTCAAGTCCCACAGACTGTACCCACTCCCCACTCGGTTTCCCTCTTCAACAACCAGTGAGGAGTCTCCACATGGATGGTTCTTAGATGGTGTCATCTGACTTGCTACTTGTCCTGCATTCCTTCAAGTCCCACAGACTGTACCCACTCCCCACTCTCTCCAGGTGCAGGTTCTCAATATCAATTTTAGCCCCGGCAGCACCGTTAGGCTGCTCTTTTTGATTTCCAACTGCCAAGGGATTTTTTTTTACGCGCGCAACAATGCACACGGGCGTCCGATCTCCTACCCAGAGAGAGGAAATGATGTTGCACAAAGCATGAACTTTGTAGCTCAATCATCAACCCCAATGATCACTGAAATACATGCACTTGTGAAATAAATGAATTCCCTGTGGGGGTTCCAGAGTTCCCTGTGTGGGTTCCAGATTTCCCTGTGTGGGTTCCAGATTTCCCTGTGTGGGTTCCAGAGTTCCCTGTGTGGGTTCTAGAGTTCCGAGTGTGGGTTCCAGGGTTCCTTGTGTGGGTTCCAGATTTCCCTGTGTGGGTTCCAGAGTTCCCTGTGTGGGTTCTAGAGTTCCCTATGTGGGTTCCAGAGTTCCCTGTGTGTGTTCCAGAGTTCCCTGTGTGGGTTCCAGAGTTCCCTGTGTGGGTTCCAGAGTTTCCTGTGTGGGTTCCAGAGTTCCCTGTGTGGGTTCCAGAGTTCCCTGTGTGGGTTCTAGAGTTCCCTGTGTGGGTTCCAGAGTTCCCTGTGTGTGTTCCAGAGTTCCCTGTGTGTGTTCCAGAGTTCCCTGTGTGGGTTCCAGAGTTCCCTGTGTGGGTTCCAGAGTTCCCTGTGTGGGTTCCAGAGTTTCCTGTGTGGGTTCTAGAGTTCCCTGTGTGGGTTCCAGAGTTTCCTGTGTGTGTTCCAGAGTTCCCTGTGTGGGTTCCAGAGTTCCGAGTGTGGGTTCCAGAGTTCCCTGTGTGGGTTCCATAGTTCCCTGTGTGGGTTCTAGAGTTCCGAGTGTGGGTTCCAGAGTTCCCTGTGTGGGTTCCAGAGTTGCCTGTGTGGGTTCCAGAGTTGCCTGTGTGGGTTCCGGAGCTTCCTTCTGTAGAATAAAGACCCTCTGTCCTCTTAACAAGCCTGTCATTGAAGGTGACTAATCAAAGGTGTTTCCTTCAAAGTTTTAAAGTTATACACACAAATGAGCTAGGTCCGTAAAACAGATGTGCACTCTTTTTTTTTTTTTTCATCGAACACCGGCTGTGAATTCCAGTGGAAGGTCACGGTTAATCGTCCGCTTGGACTTTTGGCCTTCACCTGGACCTGATTTTTGCGTGTACAACCATTTTTTATTTCCCTGCCTCTTGGGCAGCTGTACGCCGACTTCGAAGGAAGATGTGCACTTAAAACTCAAGTTCTGGATCAAGACCAAAGTCCAGGAGTGGACAAACAACCATAACTTTCCATCGGAGTTTACTGCCGATAAATGCTACGAAAAAAAAAAGTGAATGAGTGAGTATGAAACAAACCTATAACTTTCGACAATAATGTAAACAGCTTAGCCAATTTTCTAAGAAGACCTAAATTTAAAACAAACAAAAAAAGTCACCTCTGACAGGATGCAAATCCTGGCTTAGGGGACCAATGAGGTCATAGAGGGATCAGCAGGTAACAAGCCCTTAACAGAACATCGCTCTTTCCATGGCACACCTGAAAGTCTCTCTCTCTCTCTAGCCAATTCTCCTGCCCCGTGTGCTTTTATAGTCAATGCATCTTCAATGTCGAGTATCCACTGCGAGGAGGTCTGCCTTTGCATTGCATCATCTTGTGGAAATTGTACCGTCCTTCACTGTTCTCTCCAGGCCAGCATGATTTCCAGTATGGCCAAACATCTCTACTTTCAGGATAAGATGCTGTTTATGAGCCAGTTTTCTGTAGGATGTCAGTGTTTTTCTTGGTCTATGATATTCTAATAATCTGTATGTAGCATTTCACTGCAAACGTAGAGGCTGCTATACTAGATCATATATTAAAGAAAGTACGTTCTGTTCTAGCTGTAGTTATTACAGTTACTTGCCTTGTTAAAAATGTAGCTCCAGATTTGCCATTAGCAGCTGGCTCTTGTGATGTTGAGTCTTCTAATTCTAGGGACAAAAAAGCAACATTGAGAAACATGTGCAAAACTGGTTAATCAACTAATCCTTTAAACAAAAGCCAGAGTGAAATAAAGCTTTGATAAACTATCCAATTCTACAAGGGGAAAAAAAAATCTGGAGAGACAGCTGTATAGTTGATGAGTCTAATTCTACAGACAAAACAGCAAAGTGAGAGACTGTTGTATAACTGATGAGTCTAATTCTACAGACAAAAAGCCAGAGTGAGACACAGCTGTATAACTTATGAGTCTAATTCTACAGACAAAAAGCCAGAGTGAGAGATAGCTGTATAACTGATGAGTCTAATTCTACAGACAAAAAGCCAGAGTGAGACACAGCTGTATAACTGATGAGTCTAATTCTTCAGACAAAAAGCCAGAGTGAGAGATAGCTGTATAACTGATGAGTCTAATTCTACAGACAAAAAGCCAGAGTGAGAGATAGCTGTATAACTGATGAGTCTAATTCTTCAGACAAAAAGCCAGAGTGAGAGATAGCTGTATAACTGATGAGTCTAATTCTACAGACAAAAAGCCAGAGTGAGAGATAGCTGTATAGTTAGTGAGTTAAGTTGAGTTGATTCAAGAACCGACATCACTGCACTCGAGGCATTCCCATAAGCGCTCCGTTCCTATCTTCAGCAGTGAGCACAGAGCTCCAATACCATTGATGCCAACAGCATTCTCAGCACCCCCCCCCCCCACATCACTTTCACCAGACTGTGGTGATCCATTTGCTCATCGGACCTGTAAACATTCTCCCACAAAGCCCTAACAATGTCTGCCTTATCGTGTATCAGCATTCCACCAAGTTGTGCAGTGCCAGCAAGTCTGTCTGTCAGTTCGTTTCCCAGCACTCCAGCACACCCTAGACAAAAAAATCTAGACAATGCTTCTCACCTGTGATCTCTGAAGCATGCCACTTAGCACGAAGCATGCCTGTCCTCACCTTTCTTAACATGCTTTCTGAGTGAGTTACAGTCACAATGTGTGTGTGTGTGTCGTGTTCTCCAGCCAGCGGAAAGCTGCAGTGACCACCTCCACTTCCATTCTTAGACTGGATGTTGTGGTATATGCTAGGCTCTCCAGCACCAAACGTCGACCATTAACTTTTACTAAGAGCTCTCAAGCACTTCTTTTGCCTCTTGACACTGAAACATCTGTATAAATAATCGCATCCTCTGAACAAGCATTATTTTGAATTAATTGTTGAATTTCTACCTCCGTGGCACCTGCTGGCCACTTCCTGCACACCCAGCTCAATGTTATTATGACTCTACACAAGTCTGACTATTCAGCTGGCACCTTGACCCACTCCTCACTTCCCTTAATGTTCTTCAGGTTGCAGACTTGTCTGATTGTGTCTTCTGCCTGAGCCATCTATGACTTCCCTCATATCAGCTGCTGACCCTCAACTGCGTCCAGAGCTTCGTGCAAAGGCTGATCTGTGTCTGCAACGACCTTGAGATATGACTTTGCCTGCAACACCTTGTGCCTACCCTACCTGCAACAGTCGGCAAACCAATGATGTATTGCATACACACCACTGGTATCTCTGGTGCAACCCAGAATGACCCACATAGCTGCGTTCTGTATACGCTCGATCTGTCCATCTGTCTCTTTGAGATGGCAAACAGTCCCAGACCATAATCAATCACTGAAAGGATCAGGTGCTGATAGAATGTGAAAGGCATTCTCTGTTCTATGTCCACTGCAGCCATAGTCATAAATGCACTGAGTCCTTTATGGCATCTTGCCAAAACCATCTTTACATGATCCTTGAAAGACAAGGCTCCTGTCAAATGTATTCCCAAATACTTCAGTTTGCTCGCTCTGTTGACGTTTCTACCATCTATCGTGAGACCTTGGACATCAGGTCTAATGATCCTGTTGTCTAGAGAACACCACAAAACAGACGCCTTTTCCTGGATGGATGACATCACTCATTTCTGCACACTAGTAATCACTTTGTCGACTGTTGCCTGCAGCTCCTGGGCTGTTTGTTCTCTCTCACTTCCCTGACACACTCACTCTCTACAAACTACAGAGCCCAGCAGCAGGAAAGAAAAATAAGACAGTAAAATTGATTTACTGTGTGACAGCATGTCAGTCCTTCAGCCGACTCAAAGAGATCCACTAGACAAAAAGAAAACAGAACTGATTTGCCAGCTTCATAAATTCTCAGAAAACAATCAAGTAGTTCTACAATGGATCCCTGTCCACTGCGGCAGACCGGGAAATGAGTTGGCAGTCAGACTCGCAAAGATTGGAACAAAAGAAAAACAACACACACTGTCATTACCAGAAAGCAAATCACTTATCAATAGAAAATACAAGGATTTGTGGAGAGAGCAAACCAATCAGGTTTCCAGGATTTCTAGATTTTATTGATTTCTATGATAAAATTACATTAAAAAAAAAAAAAAAACTACACACACACACAAAAATCCCACAACCTCAAAACTCATTTAATTATAATAATGAAAAAGAAAGATTAATAAGTAAAGTAAAATTATAGGATATTTTTATACAAAGGTTAATTTAAAAAAAAAATTAAAAAAATAATCCGTCTAGATGTGAATTCAAACCAAAGACCACCCATCCAGCAAGAAAGCAGCTGGCTACGTCACTACAGCGGCTTACTGACAGGATTAATAATCATAAAAAAATATATGACCAAATGGAGGGTACTAGAAAAATAAAAGCAGAATTACAACATTTGAAATAAGATGTAAAAGAAATGAAGTGGAAAAAAACAAGAGACAGAGTCACCAACAAAGTACTAACAACAATGGGAAGCACACTACTGGTCAATTATCTCACAGAAAATCAATGAATCAAATGGTTTGGCCATCTGGTGAGAACAGAAAAAAAAACTCAGCCAGCAGCTAGAGCATACTCCATGAGAAGAGCAGGCTAAAAATCAAGAGGCTTCAAAAAAAAAAAAAAAGAAAAGAGACACTACAGAAACATGATATGACATTAACACCAGCTATGCAACTAGTAAAAGAATAAAACTACATCACAAGCAGTAGGACAAAAGAAGAGGAACACGGCTTGTGAGAAAGAAAAACTGCCCATTCAAAGCCTTTCCAGATTTTATGTTGATGTAACCATTATCATTAAAAGAATTATTCCGAGACAATAACACAAGGTCATAATTGTTTGAAAACTCTTTTCTAATAGCTGGAAACTGCCAATAATCGTGAAATGTCAAACGAGAAAGAAAAAACTGGAAATCTTTATAATTAGTTCACATGTCTTCAAGTTGTCCATACATAACTTCATGAGCAGATCATCAAAGACATAACAATTGATTATTTTGAAATGATAGAGATTTTTTTGTACACTAATTTTGATTACTGTTCCTTCTTCTGCTTTGTTCACGGGCTGTAAGCTCTGGTGGAAAGTCCTGGTGTTTGTCCATTTGGACTTTGGAATTGTGCTAGGGCCTGAGTTTTGTGTGTACATCTGTTTTACTGGCTTATTTATGTGCAGCTGATTGTTCCTTGCCACTCTGGCAGATGCACTACGACCTCGAGGGAAGCTCCCAATTAGTCGACTCCTATGACATGTGTGCTGGGCAGGCCATGGGTCTACTCTTGTTTTTTTCCATGGGGATTTATCATCACAAGGAAAATTGCCATATCTCATGGGCGATCATGCCTCTCCTCAATCTGTGATATTCAACAGATTGTTTTGGTTCATGTGCTGACACACCTCATATCGATGAAACAAGCTTCAAAAATCATCTCACATTGCCTTCTTCTGTCTCTTTCCCCACAGATCTTTCCAGTGGTCATAACATATTCCAATTTCCTCCTTCTTAAAAAAAAAAAAAACTGATGACTGTCTCTTTCCGTTGTCTGTGATAAGTTGCTTTCGAGCTCTCCATTCTTTCAAAACAACTGGGTTGCTACTGTCTGGTTACTGGTTTGAGAGTCTATATCATAGCATACCAGGTATACCCAAGGATGCTCTGTCTCCAACATACAATGTGTTAAAGTGCAGATACTAACTGTTTCAGTAGTACATACATCATGCTCGTATCTTAATCTCATACATCCGTTCTTGCTGCGTACACACTCACATAACCTTACTCATGTTTCTGACACCTCAAGACATTTGCTGTGGCAAATGGAGCATCTTTGTGTAAGCCTGGTATGCGATAATCAATCAATCAAGCTATGATCAATAAATCAATCAGGTGTTATTTCCATTATAAAGGTTGGAACTGAGTCTTCAACACGCTTTGTCCCTTGTCTTGGTTTTATACTTCCTCAGAATGATGTTTGTCCATCTACTGATTATTTACCTATTTTCTTTGTTTCCACTCCTGCTCTTTCCCTCCAGTATGTTTTTAAAAGAGTTATGTCGTTTAATGTGGCCAACATATTTAAATGGTCTCTTTTTTTGCACTTCTTTAAGTAACTCTTGTTTTTTTCGCAGCCTTTCCCAAGCCTCTGTATTTGACTGTTGTTTCCATGAAATACAACCTAGACTGTATATACACACATTTCCATGAAATACAACCTGTACTGTATATACACATTTCCATGAAATACAACCTGTACTGTATATACACATTTCCATGAAATACAACCTGTACTGTATATACACATTTCCATGAAATACAACCTGTACTGCATATTTACACATTTCCATGAAATACAACCTGTACTGTATATACACATTTCCATGAAATACAACCTGTACTGTATATACACATTTCCATGAAATACAACCTGTACTGTATATACACATTTCCATGAAATACAACCTGTACTGTGTATACACATTTCAATGAAATACAATTTGTACTGTATATACACATTTCCATGAAATATAACCTATACTGTATATATACACATTTCCATGAAATACAACCTGTACTGTATATACACATTTCCATGAAATACAACCTGTACTGTATATACACATTTCCATGAAATACAACCTGTACTGTATATACACATTTCCATGAAATACAACCTGTACTGTATATACACATTTCCATGAAATACAACCTGTACTGTATATACACATTTCCATGAAATACAATCTGTACTGTATATTAGGGCTGTACCGAATAGTGATTTTCACTATTCGGCCGAATACGAATAGCTGGACCAACTATTCGGCCGAATACGAATACGAATAGTGAATCATCATCATCATGTGCTTTGCCGGCTGGCATGGGCGATTATGCCTCGCCACAATCTGCGATCTCCTGCAGCACGTATTATTTTGTGTGCTGACACACCTCCATGAAAAACCTTGGTTCCATGTTGTCAGCATTAGGCCAGCTTTTTGTCTCACTGAAGGTATTTCCAGCTGTACTAAACAGGAAAATACGACAAATACAGAGAGTCAAAATGAAAACCCACAAGGCGAAACATCAAAAACAAAAATAACGCCGACGAAGAAAACAATGCCGTCCTTACAAGTCACCCAGCCCCCCGCGAGCTCACGAAACCAGACGCCGAGCGGCCAACGCCAGAAGATCAAACAACAAAGACATTCAAGAAACCGAACGTAGATCAAAACATTCAGCCGCTGCCGTTTCCACGAGACGACAAAAGAACAGATACGACACCCATAAATGATGACGAACTCCCGTTACTTCAAAGAATCAACAAAGAGGACACTCCACTCAAAGAAATCAAGCCGACAACACTAGAACACTTGCTTTTCTGCCCCTCTTACATTTTAAAGTGTTGCATTTTGTTTCTACAGCAACACACCTAAAAACACTATGCTCGCAACACATGCAAGATGGAAATAAAGGGGCACTTGGTACGCTCGCAGGTGGTGCACAAAGATAACGCTTCACAGTATAAACCAAGGTGGGAAGTCTTGATGTTTTTTTTCCACCAGTCCAGAAACGGTTGTGAGGTAAGCAACTATTCGGCCGAATGCCGAATAGTTATTGGGTCCACTATTCGGCCCCGAAGCGAATACAAAGTAAATATTCGGTACAGCCCTGCTGTATATACACATTTCCATGAAATACAACCTGTACTGTATATACACATTTCCATGAAATACAACCTATACTGTATATACACATTTCCAGAGTTATGCTACGATAAATCAATTCTAAAATCAGTAACATAAAAACCTTACACTTAACTTAAAGAAGATGAAATCCTTTTATGTCTTTCTGCAATCCACCTTGTCTTGTTTGTTACATTAAACCCTATTTGTTCATGCAGCAATAATTTTTAATTTTAAAATGGGTATCTGGGACATAGTGTTTATGAAAAATGGCCAGGTCTCTGAGTGGGTTCTGGAGCCACATTATAGGGACACCCAGAATAGACACCCGCTTCACAGAACACAAATTAGCAAATGAAAGCTGTGAGTAACTGTCTACAGTCCGGCTATTCAACTAAGACGCCCACTTCACAGAACACAAATTAGCAAACGAAAGCTGTGAGTAACTGTCTACAGTCGGGCTATTCAACTAAGACGCCAACTTCACAGAACACAAATTAGCAAACGAAAGCTGTGAGTAACTGTCTACAGTCGGGCTATTCAACTAAGACGCCAACTTCACAGAACACAAATTAGCAAACGAAAGCTGTGAGTAACTGTCTACAGTCGGGCTATTCAACTAAGACGCCAACTTCACAGAACACAAATTAGCAAACGAAAGCTGTGAGTAACTGTCTACAGTCGGGCTATTCAACTAAGACGCCAACTTCACAGAACACAAATTAGCAAACGAAAGCTGTGAGTAACTGTCTACAGTCGGGCTATTCAACTAAGACGCCCACTTCACAGAACACAAATTAGCAAACGAAAGCTGTGAGTAACTGTCTACAGTCGGGCTATTCAACTAAGACGCCCACTTCACAGAACACAAATTAGCAAACGAAAGCTGTGAGTAACTGTCTACAGTCGGGCTATTCAACTAAGACGCCAACTTCACAGAACACAAATTAGCAAACGAAAGCTGTGAGTAACTGTCTACAGTCGGGCTATTCAACTAAGACGCCAACTTCACAGAACACAAATTAGCAAACGAAAGCTGTGAGTAACTGTCTACAGTCGGGCTATTCAACTAAGACGCCCACTTCACAGAACACAAATTAGCAAACGAAAGCTGTGAGTAACTGTCTACAGTCGGGCTATTCAACTAAGACGCCCACTTCACAGAACACAAGCTATTCAACTAAGACGCCCACTTCACAGAACACACATCCACTTCACAGAACACACATTAGCAAATGAAAGCTGTGAGTAACTGTCTACAGTCGGGCTATTCAACTAAGACGCCCACTTCACAGAACACACATAAGCAAATGAAAGCTGTGAGTAACTGTCTACAGTCGGGCTATTCAACTAAGACGCCCACTTCACAGAACACACATTAGCAAACGAAAGCTGTGAGTAACTGTCTACAGTCGGACACTTGCTAGGCTTACTGTGGCCAGATTTGGCCCATGGGCTGCCAGATGAATAGCTCAGGTCTACAGGTCTATATCGGCTGAGAGAATACACACATACACATGCAAAAACTTCCCTCTAAATGCTAAAAAACTATTCTGCCTTATTACAAAAGTAAAAGACCCTTTTCATGACACGGACATATTGTCATGCAGTGCTAGAGCTATGCCCACAGTGTAACTGGTGTGAAAAAGTGCTTTATTTGCTTGCTTGCTTCCTTAACTCTTTGATTCCCCAGCAACGACTGATGTGTGAATGAAATTAACCCTATATTTCCCTCCATAGCTTAATGTGCCTTTTTATTTTGAACATTTGGCAAGAAAATACTGAAGAAATCTGGCTTCTCCCAAAGGTCGATGAAAACTACGTATACTGCCATTTTGAAAGTAAAGCTTTTACGATTCTGTACCATGATTTTTTCTCCATTTTGGCATCTCCTGTGAAACATTCGGGCCCTAAAAAAGTTTAAGGCTGAGGTTGTAGTATAGAGCCAGGTGGATGTGGAAAACAAGGGAAAACCAGCATTATTCACTACAGGAAACTCAATACAAGACTACAGCCTATAATTTCTGGGATAAGCAACTTTCGACCAGACGCAAATGTAAACAAAAATTAGTAAATAAAAGTGTCTAGAAGTTAAATACTAGCTGACAGAATGACCATACATACCTACATAGAACTTACTTAGCTGGGCAATGTTGTCAGCACTTCCAAATTTGTTTTTAAACAGATGGGCAAACTCTTTTGGTTTGGATACAATGGTGCTGAAATCAGAAAGTGAATGCAATAATAAGAGAATAAAGTTAGTTGCACATTCCTTAGGAAACACTGCAGACCTAACCTCTGCCTTTGTTTTTACAGCTAGGTTTTCTAGGCAGTTTCATGTTGTGTAGTTTAACACTGCTTTCTAAATGATCCGTTCAGCATACAACTATAGTTTAGTGCCAAATCACCTGCATCTAGAATCGAACCTGGTATTTTGGAATTATGAAGTGCACTCGATTAGCCTAACCCTGATGACTGCAGTAACAAATAAATTGTTCACTGTCCATTTTAAAGACCCATCTTTATCACACACTAGATACACATAAGTGGTCCGATCTCCCCCTGAGTATGTCTCTAAGTGATTTGTAGGCTAACAACTCCCGTTCTGTTCTGGCTGATGTAACGACAGGTGGCTCCCACATGGTTCAGTGTAAGGACATTCTAATTACATTCTTGGACTAATTTCCAGTGCAAGGAAATTCTAGTTATACGTATTTACCCTGTGCATTTGAATGGAAGGACATTTTAGTTACACTGCTTGACTAAGTCTGTCAGGACAAACCAGAGGAATCAAATCCTAGAATTCTTTGATATCAGATCAGTGTGATTCAAACTTTTGCATTGTAGGCAGATCTTCAACTCTTGTGTGATTCCAGTGCTAACTTATGAAGAATACTACAACTCCCCTGGACAGATTTAAGATCCAATAGTCAAATAAGATAAGCAAAAGGACGAACGAACAAGATAATATATCCATTTTCAAAAGAGAGTGCAGCTACCAGCTGCTGGAACTACACTGGCCATGCAGTCAGAATGGATAAGACCAGACTCCACCATCAAGACCTCATATGGACTCCGGAAGGGAAAAGAAAATAGAAGACCAAGAGGGACCCTGCGTAGAACCATCATCAGCAAAGGCTCAACCATGGGCCTAATGAACATCCAAAACCTAAAATAGGTAGCAATCAACCGGCAGACATGGAGAGCTATGACCTCTGCCCCGCACTAGGCTCAAGATGAAAGACTAACTAACTAGGCAGATGGTTTCTGAACCTGAGGATTTAAGGCTACACGCTACAGACTGCAAAAGAGGAAAGATAACAACACACAACACACATACAAACTTACTTGATGCCCTGCCCAACATCTCGTATCATCTCCTTGGCCTGCCTGTGACCTGTGTACCCATGTGTTTCCACTTCAGTCAGTCGCTGCTGATAGTTCTCCAGCTTGCGCTGAAGCTGGATGATATTCTGGGCTGACTTCTGATTCTTCTTTTCGAAAAGTGCCTTAATTCTGGCTGTTGGTTGTTTCTCTGCTGTCATCTGAAGGTACTCCCTCACTATGGCTGCAGATATACATTAGTGTCAACTTTCACTTAACCCTTTCGCTATGGAAACTATTTATATATATAAAATCATCATTATTAGGTGCCTTGCTGACTGGCATAGGCGATCATGCCTCTCAACAATCCGTGGTGATCTGCAGCATGTATCAGTTCGTGTGGTGACACACCTCCATGCCATGCAACAAGACTGTCAAGAATCTTTTCTCGTTGACTTTCTCTATCCCTGCTTCCACAGGTCTTTCCAGTGGTCACAACATGTTCCATTTTCCCTCTTCTCTTAACATGGCTGTCTCCTTCTGGTGTGATAAGTCGTCTTTGGGCCTCCCGCCTCTTTCAAAACCTATTGGTTGCTCTTTTTGGCTTTCTCAGAGGGCATATATATAAATCTGGTAACAGGCAAATATTCTGTCACATTTTTTTTAGTAACATGATCATTGTATGACAGGCAGATAAGTCTGTACATGGTTCACACAATATTTTGCTCATATATAGGAAGAGGACTGCAAATAAATACTAAGTTGTGTTGTTGTTGAGTTTTCAAGGATTGCACTTTGCAGGCAACATCTTAAAAAAAACAAGAATCAAACAAGTACAAACCTAGACAGCCAGTTCAATCATATAACCCAGCAGCTACACTGGGTAACCCGATGGTTATGTAATAACCTGTAGTCAAATGCGGCTGTCCCCGCATGGGTTCCAGGGCCCCATTGTGGGAACAACAAGAATAGACAAACTTCCTGCCGGAATGACAAAATACACTCCGGTCAAAATGGACGCTAGGCGGGCCACTGTCTTTGGAGCCGAGGCAAATTTTTTGCTTCTGCCGGGCGGTGGCCGATGCATTTTTGTTCCATTTGTAGACTGGATATAGTTTCGTTGCCCAGCTTCTGAGTTGAATGCATGGCGTGACACTGTGAGCTGCGGATTTCATTTAGAATGTTTTTCGACTGACCAACGTGGTGGTGTGAATTGTAGATTCAGAAAATGGCGAGATGCTTGTCGTCACAATTTTGGTGATGCCCGTATGTGATTAAAATTGATCGCATCGCGTGGGCAACTGCAGATCTGTTGGTGACTTCTGCTACCATCAATGATGAACTGCATTTCAAATGTCGACTGTTTGTGTTAGCACTTCGGACGGCTACCATATGCTTCAATGCGAGTGTGTGCTAGATATGCTGAGACAGCAGTCTGTCAATCTTTCCACAAGGGACTGTGATAAATATTCTGTGTGTTTTTTCGTTGGCATGGGAGCGGAGCAAAGATGGGGTGACCCATTTGCTATGAAGCTGAAACTAGGACTACCAGACTACCTACCCAAAAGCATGTCGTAAGAATCGACAAAATGGGAGTTTCTTTCGAAATCAGAGTAATCTGCCTGAGAGGCAAGGAACCAACAGTATGCATGCAAATGAGTCAGAAATGTGAAACAGATGTGCACACAACACTCAGTTTCTGGAACAGAAGTGGACGAACAACCAGATCTTTCCACCGGAGTTTAAAGCCGGTTTTAGGGCCCCAAAAAATGTTTTTTAATATTTTACTATTTCCACTCTTGGCTGTCTCTTCTCCTTCTTTAGCTAGTCTATGAACATTTGCTCTCTTATTTCGATTTGCACAACATTTAGTTAAAAAAAAAATGGTCCCTCTAACCTTTTGTATCTACTGTCTGTTACCTTCTTTTAAAGTCTGCTCCTTCTTGATGGCTTCCTTGGTCTTTTGTATCTTGGCCAGCAACACCTCAATCACCTGTTTAGTACGGACACTGTTGTCTCCACCGTCCACCTCCTCAATTCCTACATCGCTGCCTGTGTCCAACTGTTATCAGTAGATGCATGAGCAGAAATTGATTAGTTTACCTCACCCACACAGGACAGTACGGTACATCAAAGGTAACACTTTGTGTAGAGGTATGGTACACCAATTATAACCGCTCTTTATTAAAGGTATATTTCCGATGTGAGTTCTGGGATCCCATTTTAGGAGAAATAGGAGAAACAAAAACAGACCCACTGTCCCTTAAAAAATGTACAAGATATGAGAACATAATGAGACTGGATAAAAAAAAAAATTTCATCTGAGTTCATCCGGATAAAGATTTGACATCACAGCATTCAAGATAAGCCCATCCCCGTGTGGGTTCCGGGGCCCTATTATAAGGAAAACAAGAACAGACCCACTGCCTACCCAAAAGCATGTCGTAAGAGTCGACTAATTGAGAGGGTGGATTAAGACCACAGTCCAGAAGTGGATGAACAACCGAAACTTTCTGTCTAAAGTTTACAGTGGGTAAATGGGAAGAAGAAGATAAGGGTATCTAGGATTTCTACAGGAGTGATCAGAAAAGATCAAATCAGGAATAAAATCAGTACAGAAAACATTTTGCAGAAAAGCAATACTAAATTACAAAGACAGCCAATAAAATGGTTTGCCTACTTAGAGAGAATGCTGTGTGACACCATACAGCATAAGGCACACACTAAAAGAGTGAGGGATCTAGAGCATGAGGCAGACCAAGAACAAATGGAAAGATAACAGAAACTCTATAAAAGTAGAATGTGTCTATGGTCAAGGCACAGAAGAACAAGGAACAGAATATTACATCTCCACTGGAACATTTTCCATCCTGGATACAATCGTAAACACCCAATCAACAGCTTCAAATGAAAATTTTGAATTTTGAATTAGGAATCGACATCACAGCACTCAGGAAACCCCGATAAGCACTCCCTCCCCATTTTCAGCAGCAAGCAAAGAGTTAAAATTCTGATGATATCAGGAACTGTCTGACTGTATATCCATCTCGCCTTTCCCCTGAGTGTCGAGCATCTGCCAGATCCCTTGTAACTCCTCGCAGTGCCATTCTCCTCAGACCGTAAAGATCTATCCGTGCCTCTGTTCACTCGCTCCCAAAGGGCCCTCACAACATCCAGCTTGTCATACATTAGTTCACCACCAAGTGGTTCAGAACTGGCCAGTCTATCTGCCTGCTTATTTCACAACACACTGGCATGACCTGGAGAAAATATCCAAAGGATGTTTCCTACCTGGGACCTTTGAAGTGATACTTGCCACTCTGCACAGAGCATGCCTGTCTCCACCTTTCTCAACATGCGCTGTGAGTCAGTGACAATGACAGCATGTGTGTACAGCTGATTCTCAAGCCAGCGGAAGGCAGCAATGACTGGGATCTCTTCAAACGAAAGAGACAGACCATTACATTTAGGCTGCATGATGGACACGACTCTACTCTGCTTTATACTGGTGAACACCTGTTGATAACTCTATGTGGTCTTCTTATAAACAGGCTCCTTCCTGAAGATCTAGCCAATAAAGATAGGATCAATGGGTCTTTCAAAGTCAGAGCACATCTGTCTGAGGGGCGAGGAACTATCAGTGCTAATCTATACTCCTACAATCGTACACATATACAAAAACTGTGTAATATTGAAAAATCAAACATAATTGACAGGCATAAATATCCATTAATGAAATAGAAAAACCACTAACGCCACTACACTACCATTTGGAAGCTGCAGAGATGTGGTTTAATAGACGTATGAAGAGAATTCCCGGGACAAATAAAAAGAGTAGTGAAGACGTCTCAAAAGAAACTGATTCATGAAGAGAACTGGTTGTCCACATAAGAAAGAGACAATCTTCATTCTTTGTGTGCGAAGAAAACTGAAGTACAACTTAACAGTAGGAATGTTGGAGGAGAAGAGAGGGAGAGGGAGACCGAGAGAATAGACACTGGGCGGTCTGACATGATGGCATGGAAGATCCTCCATATCAGAGTTGACTGAAAGTACATGAGACAGAAGGTTGTGGATAGACATGACTACCAATGCCACATGACGAGGTTTTTAAGAAAGACTACTACTACAACCATCACCACTACAGTATACAGTAAGCCAGATCTGTAAACTGGATGTGCACACAACGCTGGAACAAAACCAAAGACACGGATGAACAGCCAGGAATTTCTGCCACCTCCAGTTAACTCAGAAAACAAGAAATTAAAAAGGCTCACCAACAGATCATCTGAGCTGGCACCTCCTGTGGTACTGTCATCACTGACCACACTGCTCCCTGAGGTATATGGTGCCAGAGTCTGACTACCAGACTCCTGCACCGAGAGCTGAGGAGTCCTGACCATCAGTGGGCTGGTACGACCTGAGGTCAGTTTAGACGCACCTTTTGTCAAAATTCCAGCTTTTTGGTCAGACTTTTTCCTGTTTTTATTTAGATAAAGCAAAACAAATAAAATAAAATTTATGGTAAGCATATAGTTAAAAGCTAATTTAACAAGAAAAAAAATAATGGGTTGTGAACTATTATAAAACATAAATATAAACCCAGCAGTATAAATGATTTTGGGTGTGATCAAGGGATTAATACTTATACTTTTGAAATACTAATGAAGAAAACATCAACTTAAAATGAATGAAAGAATTCACCTTTGAAAGACTAGTGATGAAAACAAACATCAATTAATAATGAATGTTGGAATTCACTTTTTAAATACCAATGCAGAAAATTGAATCAAGAGGTGAAGAAATATGCTGGCACTGGATAGGACACACACTGAAAAAACAAAAAACAACCTGAAAACAATATAACTAGAACGCCTTTACATTAGGTCATAGAAATAAAGGCAGACCAACACCCCCCAACCCCCCCCCCAAAAATACACAAAGAAGAGAGCAAGCCAGTAGAGTTAAAAAGATGCAGAGGAAGTGTGGTGAGCCGCACACAACATCAAAGGATATGTCAACTTGGTGTGAGATGGTTGAGGGCCTATGTCTAACTGGGGGATTGTGCCCTGAAAGCAGTGCCGCTGGATTTCAGCTATCAGGATCACCAAGGTGTTCTCAACATGGAGGTTATGGCCAGCAAATCTAACCACTTCAATTATATAATCCGTAAGTCTCTTAAGAACCGCCATATCCATCTAATGGGTACCAATTCACCTAGGGGACTTAACATCTGACAGTTTTATCAAAATACCTTTCAGTTACAGCCTTTGTCACTTATTACTTTTTCTGGCCAGTACTTTTTTCCAGTGGCCACATGTGTGTCAGATATTAAACTGGCCATGACATAAATGTTATATTAGTTAAGTAAGTTTGTGTATTCTTGTTCGTACTTATGGGTTTATTAAATGTGCTGATGGAAACTCTCTAGTCACAATATTCATTGTCGTTTGACTTAATATCTTTCCATTATATAAACAGCATAAAAAGAAAGGAAAAGAAAATATCAATTTAAACTCTTAAAGTACAGCAGACCTCCTATACTTCTGTCAATGCCAGCAGGCCGTAATGTATGAAGTGCTAAATAACATAAAATGTGACACCTATTTACGTCATCACTGTAGTAAATGAAGCCTTATTCAGGTTGGGAAGTGAGCCCAAGTACTGCAAATATTCGACTACAAGAAAATTAGCATTACAAACAAAATGGTAATAGCAATGACGAGTACAGCTGTGGTGGCCTGTAGCATTGAGACTTAATTTATACTAATTCAGTGTATAATGAGCTGAGCGACCAGTTACCTTTAAATATCAGCTTTACGAGGTTGGATAAAAACCAGCGCTATACTTCTTTCTAGGACCCTCCAGAACTGGCCGTCCAGCTTATGATGCTAGATTCATATCTGTTAAACCAAATGACGCTCTGCTGGTGAAGTGGTCAACTTCATGCCAGCCACATTTACTTTCCGGGACATTACCTGGACCTATTTTAGGCTGCATCTTCTTCTTCGGGTCCAACAGCTGTAAACTCCGGCAGAAGGTTGTGGTTGTTCATCTACTTCTGGACTTTAGTCTTGTTCCAGAACCCGAGTTTTGCATGCACTTCTGACTTATTTATATTCAGACTGTTGATTCCTTGCCTCTCAGTCAGACACACTCCGACTTCCTAGGAAACATTCCTAGTTAGTCTTATGATATGCTTGTTAGCGACAGGAGTGGGTTTGTTCTTTTTTCTTCTTCATTAAAATGAGAGCTCACATGGAAAAATCTTGGGGTCAAGGTAATTATTTTTGGTTAAAATCTCCATCATGACGCAGATCTGAACCAAGATCTGCGGGACATCAGGCAGGCTTCTAGCCACTACCTACCACAGCTCCTAAAGGAAGTAAAAATTCCAAATTAAAACAGCTCAAGGGCTTCAGACATATGATGTTAGTTGTATATTTTAATGAACTCAAAGGCTTAATTATGGATTTCCTTCGAAGTCGGAGTGCATCTGCCTGAGAGGTGAGGAATCACCAGCCTTCACAGAATTATGCCAGATTTGTAAAACAGATGCGCATGCAAAACTGGAACAAGACCAAAGTCCAGAAGTGAACAATCAGGACTTTCAGCCGGAGTTTACAGCTGCTAAGTGGGATGATTTAATCAGTTATTATGCAGGCCGCCTTTATTTTATACAGCAGTCCCAAGTACCTATGTTAGACTTTCTCAACCCAGTGATTCAGGCCATCATAAAGGTCTCAGCAAGGATTTGAACCAATGCCAGTGGATCAGTAGGCAAGAGTGACAACCACTGTACTACCACAGTTCCCAAGAAACTTCACACACATGCTGCCAAGCCCCCCCCCCCCCCCCCCCCAAACAGCCACACACACACATACATACAAATATTTACTAACATACATACACATATATTTACACAAACACATATATGCGAATGTGGAATTGTGTGTGTGTATATATATATATATATGCATATGTAAAAGTATATATATATATACACACACACATTCATATACACACGTAAAAAGTGAATGCCCCTAGGATATAACACCCAAAAAACAAAAAACGTTAGAAATACATAAAACTAGACAGGTTATTGATTCTTCACCATAAACTGCCTCTGCTTGAGGATTTCATAAGATCAATAATATACCATCATTATGTACATCAGACGGGTACAAAATAAGACAGTAAAAGAAGAAAAGGAAGACAAAACTACTCATAAATCAAACAGACCATCTGCTGCTCAAATTACACATAATTATTGAGTTAGTTTCACTTTGTCAACGAACACAAATAGCCTCAACATTACTGTGCAAAGGCACATGCAAATCAAACAGACAGAATCAACAGGCAAATCGTACAGATTATCCTACTGATAGAGTGAATGTCCTGTAAAAATGTACACGGGGTATTCTTCTTCTTTCCTTTGCTTGATATCGACTATCTGCGCAAGGTTGTCTTGAGTATCTTCGTAATGTTTACCGGCTGTAAACTCCAACATTAACTGCAGCTGTGAGCCCAAGATATATGGGTGCTGATGTGTCTAGGTGTGGATATATGGATGTTGATATATCCATGTATGGATAAATGTCTTATGTGAGTAATGAGGCAATAGTAGGGATCACCACTGGAGGTAAACCAGAATATGCCAACAGTTTCTTATCAACGGACAACACTGCTCCTACATCTTCTTCTTCTTCACAGGCTGTAAACTCAAGCGGAATGTTCTGGTTGTTTGTCCATGTCGGAACTTTAATCTTGTACCAGGACTTTAGTTTTATGTTCACATCCGTTTTAAAGATTTGGCTAAATTGTATGCAGGCTGTTGGTTCATTGCCCCTCAGGCTGATGCACTCCACCTTCAAGGGAAACCACTTTGTCGACTCTTACGACACGTTCATGAGGCAGGCAGTGAGTCTTCTCTTGTCCTCCCCACATCCCACATGGGGAAACTTCTGTACCAACTACACACTCATAAATAATGACACTAGATATATTACCTTGTGAGGATGTGATGAAGGAAGGGAAACGAGTTTGAGTTTCGCATCACTTCCAATGTCCGTCTGGGTGTAGCTTCCAGGTGCAAGTTCAAACTCTGGACAACCCTGTCACTTCCAGGCATTTTATCATCACACCACTGATTCCCTCCCTCAACTGTTAAAGTCAGTGTAAAAAATATCCTGTGCCTCAAAAAAAGTGACCAGGGAAAAAGTCCAGGAGAATCCCTAACAAATGACTGACATAATCCCAGATGGTACTTTCCAACACTATGTACGAGTATGTATCAACATTTTCATGTCTCAGACAAAGAGTAAGTTTCCATGAAGTCAATTACCTATGGATATCCAAGTGTCTTTTAATCATTAAAAACTGCACATTTCTAGTGGAACATACTTCCTCATTAAATGGAACTCGAGGTTCTCTATAAAGTGTGAATTGTATTCATTCTTTCAAATTACTGGTAAACTTATCAATAAACTTGACTCTTTACGTTCTTTAAAAACTGAACTTCTCCAAGTTATCTGTAACCAAACTCCTATAAATTATATAAACACATGAAACTTCAAATAATCTTTAAATTCAACTCTTTTCTAATCTGAATTAAAAGAACTATTAAACACCATCATTATTAAACTCCTTTCAATTTCTGATAAGCTTAATGCTCCTAAATCATGCATAAGTGAAGTTCTGACATCATAAGAAAACAGAGGACCTACACCATAAGAAGATAGAGGACCTGCACCATAAGGAGATAGAGGACCTGCACCATAAGGAGATAGAGGACCTGCACCATAAGGAGATAGAGGACCTGCACCATAAGAAGACAGAGGACCAAACCAGGAAGGTAAGAAGAAATGGAAGAAATAGATCTCACTGAGGGGTGAATTTATAGAGAAGGACCAAAGTTCACACACAATTCTAAATATATGCCTCCGTTATTTACGCTTAAGTTTAAACCAATCTTGTGCATAAATGACAGTTTGATTAAATACAAGGAAGTGAGACGGTCACCCCACCTCCTATCTCATGACCTAGCATGTGTAAAGGCTAAACATTTCACATACCAACGGTAGTACTGACCACCCATACACACATGAATGTTTGATTACACAGAACTGGGAAATGATGGCAGAAATATGTATGTCAACAGCTGAGAAAGTAAAGGCGTAAATAGGGGTGCCTGCAGTCAAATTGATGACAAGAAGTGCTAAATACAACATCAAATGTGGAGCCCTGGAACCCCCAAGGGGATGGTACCCATTTTAGGCTGGGTCAACCAGAGAGCCCACATCCTTTATGAAACAGTCTGCCAACAGCTAAGTAATTGCTACACCTTCTTGTAACATGTAATGTGTTTATCTCAAATAACCTTGTACCTGTGAAAACTGTTATCTATGATAAATGCATAGCTTACACATATACACATGTAAAACTTCTAGATCAACACTCAAAACTGACAAAC